CAGGGGGAAATTTCCCCTCCCCTGACGGTTTTTACCGGGCCGACCAAGCCGTCGTACCGGGCTGGGTAATAAGAGAAAAGAAAGAGGGGGGAGGGAGGGAAAGAGAAAGAAGAGGAAAAGAAAAGGAAAGAAAAAGAGAAGAGAAAAATAAAGACAAGAATAAACAGGAAGATATCATAATGACCAGACTCACAACACACATGCAACCCCTTCTCCACTTCAAAAACTGTCATAACTCCTTTGATCTATGCTGCCCGATGGCGTAACCACTGGGAGACAAGGAGAAAATATCTATCTTTGAAAAATCTTCCCTACTCCTTTATAAATGCCCTTTCATCCCCTAAAATTGCCTAAAAACCTCAAATTTTGCGCGCATTTCTTGTTAACATGGCCCAATTTCCTCTAAAAATTGCACATTTTAGGGAGTTTTGATCAATTCCAACGAAATTAGAATTAAAAACACTGTTGGACAAGGGGAAAATATCCATCTTTGGAAATCTTTCTCCACTCCTTGACAAATGCATCCTCAGAAAGTGCCTAAAATTCTCAAATTCTTTGCGCGCATTTCTTGTTACGGTAGGCCAATTTCCTCTATAAATTGCACATTTTAGATAGTTTTCATCAATTCCGACGAAATTAGAATTAAAAACACAAAAATATTTTGCGCGCTTGGCGCGCATTTTTTAGGGCTTTTTTTAGTTTTATCCTTTGCTGAGGTGGTTTTGAAATCACGTTTTTGAAGTAGGCCTATGTAAAGTACATACTCAAATACAATGTTTTTAAGCTTTGTTTTCTGTGGTATATCACACACATTAATAAGATCTCTATGGTTGTCAAAAATCCCTGATAAAATATCATGAGAATTTATTTGGCGCTTAATTTTGACTAATGGTGATGTGATGATGATGAATTTTACTAAAAGTGTCATTTCTGGCCATCTAGAGGTACTATTTCCTCAAATTTTCTCACCTCAGCTCCAACCATGGTGGGGCTGAGGTGGGTATCGACACACAAAATCCCCTCCCCCTCCACCTTTCAAAACAGATCTGTGTTCTACCCTGGGTATGACATTAAACTCCATCGAGTCGGCTCCTGATGTATGTCTTAGTGACTGCTGTTTGTTTTTAGGATGTGAACTGGTTTTTCATGTCCATTTTTCGTGATTATGACTATTCTGGATAAAGAATGTTTTGAGCAGAGGTGGAATCAAGGCCCACCTCCCCTTCATATTTTAAGGGGAAAAAAAGAAAAATATATTCAAATTGAAGTGCGAGAGTGTAATTTCCGGCCGTCCAGAGATGCCCTAATCATAAATTTTCTTACCTCAGCCCCAACCATGGTCGGGCTGAGGTGAGTGGTTCCTCAGTCTGTGAATGTCCCTCCCTGGCTCACATCTCTTTCGAATTCTGCCACTGTTGATTTATTATATAATTATTTTTGCGCTTATTTATTATGCGTCTATTGCAATTTTCACTTTATCCTCGCAAACAGTCCTAAGAACGTGCGCTACTAAGAGTGCGCTACTTCACAGGGGGGCGCTTATTTATTATGCGTCTATTACAATTTTCACTTTATCCTCGCAAACAGTCCTAAGAACGTGCGCTACTAAGAGTGCGCTACTTCACAGGGGGATTTGACCCCGCCGGGGTCCTACGTTATTCGCATAACGGCTCCCCCCCCCCCTTTCAAAATCCTGGCTACGTCCCTGTCTCACCGAGTGTTTAGTTGGTACTAAAAGAATGATGAAGACGTTTAGGCCTATTTAATGTTTCAAATTCTAGGTTACGTATTGGTTCTGGTTTTGCTTAACACAGTTTTAAATAATGACACCTTTACAAATTTTCAAAATTATGATCTCAATATTGATATTTTGTTCATGCGAACGTACGTTTTTTTTACACAAAACTTGGTGTAAGATTCCGATTCTACCTAAATGATAAGTTTCGGTGACAAATAAAAATGCTGATGCACTTTTATACTGGTGACAACACGTAACTGGTAATCCATAGAAACTCTGGAAAAGTGGTTTTTAATTGGGGAAAGAACTGTAATGCCTTTTGTACGTATATCTGCTACATATCTAATATATCGAATCACAAAACAATTGAACAATTACCGAAGACTAGTGTAAGAGAATAGAATGTTGATTATAATATTACCGGTGCTTGATAATGATTTAACAAACGGAGTAGAGAGTAAAGTACCTGCCAAGAACATTAAAGAAAAGTTCACAGTTCAGACCTGTTGATCTCTGTCGAAGGCGAGTAGGCCTGCCTTTATTAGATGTAAACAAAAATAAACATGAATTACCCGAGTAGCTACAGCATTAAAGTATTGCAAAAAATATTCATAATAATTAACAAAGGATGAAAAATAACTATTTCAAATAGAAGCAAATTTCTATGACTTAAGTACAATAATAAAGATGCTGATGAAAAAAAATTGCTTCTGCATGTACAAAATGTCACTCGAACATGTGCACAGTAATGTCACGTAGCAGCAGGGTCGGCGACAGGCTTTGCCCATGGTTGGGGGAGCTCATGTCCCCGACGAGCAAAGAGTAGGCGTGTCGGGCGTCGCCCAAAATCCATTGAAAGTTGTCCAATTTATATTAATATGTTTAAAATAAATATAATTTGTTCCTTGCTTTTTCTCCTCGACGGGGTGGGGGCGGGGGACAAGGCGCTGTCTCTTATACACATCTAGATGTGTACGCCGCCACTGTGTAGCAGTAATTGCAGCATCACTTTTCGAAAAGTTTGTTGATGCAAATGAACTGTATACTGCTTAGAGTAGGTAGGATTGATAAATCATTATAAGATATTCCGTCTGTACCCACATTTGTTGTGAAGCACATGGGAATTTAGATATACCTTTGGCTAATGTGTTTTCTCTTATTAACACTAGAAAGGCACAATTGCAACAAAACAGGTAAAGGGAAATTACATCTATAATTCTATATCTGGATTATTTCACAAATTTATTCATTTGGGAACAATAGCTAGCTAACCATCTTGATATTGAGAAATTTATTGTTATCGCTGACAGTACAAACTATAACTCATCCATAGCCAATGAGGCAAGAACTTGTTTTCATCCAAGCAACGCATGCATAAAGAACTAGCTCCAACATCTGCAGCACTGAAACATGTTTGGAGAGCAGTATTGCATGCCATTAAAACATTAAAAAAAAAAAACCTACAAAGATAACAAGAACATAAAATTAACAACAGTAAGATATTCCAGCATCTGCTGTGATTTTGCGGCAAAAACTGACAAGAAGAGGATGTGACCCTTTGGTAATTAGAAAGTTGTAGGAATGCGCTTTGTAACCGCAAAGATAATGGCAGTATGCTCGTCACAAACATTTGAATCATGTGTTTTATTGGATGGTCATTTTGAAATTAAATAGGCGTTGTGTGTA